AAGGCCATTGGTGCTGGTCCCCAGTGTGGGAGGGGAGGTCAGCCTCACAGGTGAGCCTGATGTGCAGCCTGAAGGGCAGCTTGGATACTATTGGAGTCAGTCAGGGACATAAGACTTCCTAGGATGCCCAGCTCTCCCTTTCTTGTTTTAACTAGAAGAGCACAGAATTAGCAAAGAAAGCAAAGTCCTCTACTCAGACCTGGAAAAGAGTGGATGAGCCGCCCAGAGGACAAGACTAGCTGCATGAGCACTTAACTCAAGCTCCTGCAGCCATGACTTGCCCAAAACTAACTACATGCTCAAACTGAGCCGACATACACTCTACATCTGGCCTTGGTTTAACCAAGGAAGAACATATCAGAAGTGGTATTGGGCCAGCTCTAGTCCTCAGCTCTCCATCACCTGAGAACTTCTACTTGGGTATCTTTTGAAGCCTTGAGATGCCAGCGACATCTAGATAATGATGCAGGAGCAATAAAGAGTCCACGTGGGGATGGAGAGTATCTCAGGATACGCAGAAAGAGACAAAGCATAGCCATGGTGGCTCTATGTGTGCATAAGTTACACAGGGATCCAGTAAGACCTACAGAAGAACCACCCAGCTGAGCCCAACCCATGCTGCAGAACCATTAGAAATAAAATGATGGTTGTTTTAGGTTAGCTATTACCCAGCACTAGGGCAAAGGCATCTATGAAGCTAGTAGAGAAGGTTTTTTTGTTTTTGTTTTTGTTTTTGTTTTTGTTTTTAAAGGTTCTAGCAGAGCCTCAAATCCATTGCTGCAGCCACAGGGCCCAGCCTTTGTCACTGGTGAATTAAAGGACCAGAGGAGCTAAAGCACCAGAGGGAAGCAGCCAGCCTGACATGGCATCCTGTCCACTCAGCTCTAAAGGAAAAGCCAGAGGAATACAACACACACAGCGCCTGCCAGGTGCACACTAAGCCCACAAAAGTGGACTTTTAACTCATGGGCTCTACCATCAGGAATGTGAACATGAACATAAAACTTCCGTTCCAGGTCAGTATAGTGTGTGGTTAAGATCACTCTGAAACCACACCATCGTGGTTCAAACCCTGTCTCTCAGTATGACAAATGCCTCAATGCCTCCATGCCTCAGTTTCCTCGTCTACCAGGGAAGAAGACAATGCCTACCCCACACAATTGTCCTAAAGACTTAGTTTTGCATTCAGAGCTGAGAAGGTGCCTGGCACCTGCTGAGAGCCCACTAGGTAGCTGCTCCAATATTTACTGAGTTTTGTTTTAAAGATTTCAAAGCACAGAAAATACCGTGGTTATTAAATGTCATTTTAAAACTTGTTTTCCATATTCTTCTGTGTTTCTCCCCTCACATAGATTTAAAAAAATTACATTTCTAGTCAAGTTAAAGGAAATTAAGCAAATCACTGTGAGAATTGGGCTAAAAAAACTGACAAGTGGAGTGTATGGACAGCCCCCCCTCGCCACACACACACACACACACACACACACACACACACACACACACACACCATTGCTCCCCCCCCTCGCCACACACACACACACACACACACACACACACACACACACACACACCCCTCAGATGCTATAGAGAACATAGGTGGGCAATGAACTGTAAGCTGCTACCTGCTGGTGACCTTGAGCAGGTCCCTTTACTCATCCTAAGTTGGAAAAGATGTATGCCACCATCCCACCTGCTCTGACCCCCAGAGGTGAGGTAAATTTAGTCCAAACATGAAAAGCCCTTGTATCTCCTAAGGCATTAGTTAAAGGTTACGTCTTACATCTATTTATGGAATTTCACATCCTACAATAATAATCTCTCCCATTTGGGAAGGTTTTCAAATAAACCCCAAATGATCCCTGCCCACAAGGGAAGCCACAGCAAGGGCTTTTTACAAGTGCTAACAAGAAGCCCATTTGCTTTATGAACCTGAGGAGTAGGCATTCTTTTGAACACTCTCAAAAATAGCTCAGTCCATTCAGGAAAAGCAGCTTTGAACACGGAAAGAAAGAACTCCCCATCGCTCTGCAGCGAAGGCAATAGGTCACTCTGCGGCTTTGCATAAAGGGAAAGCGGAAGGGCCTGGGGTTCTGATTGGGTCTGGTGAAGACCTGCTATTCTGATGTCTGGGGCTTGCTTTGTCCATCCTGCTCCCTCCTCCCCTCCTGTCTTGAAAATTCACAAAAGGGTTTAGAAGTTATATTTCTGGCCCAGTGATTCTTCCAGCCACCGCTGGGTTTGGACCAGATTTAGCCTGCAGATCAGCAGGTGATGTGACCAGCACAGTGCCAGAGGGAGGTACCAAGCCTGCCTCAGCTCTCTCAGCCTTGTTTTCACAGGACACCTAGCCCTGCCCATGGGATCTATCTGTAAGGAGAGACAAGGAACCTTTCCTTCCACCTCAGAATTCAGAATCACCATGTAAGGAACATAAGGGCCTGATAAAAGGAGGGAGAGTGAGGAACCAAAGGGAAGAAATTACACTCAAATGCCCTCCTCTAAGCCTGTTAGATATATGCCACCTGCTGTTTTCCTGGAGAACTGGGGTGACTGTTTTTTACCAGCAAGCTAGAAGCCACAGAGCACTCTGGTTCCCCCTCAATACTCCCCCCTTCCGAAGTTCTGCCCCTGACCCACATATCTAAGCAGTGAGATACTAATGCTGCTGTCAGATTTTTGTTTGGGGTTTTTCTACTTTCTAGGGGCTGATGAGTTGGCCCCTCCCATTCATACCCAGGTCTCGTGCGCAGGTGAGGTCAACCTGTCTTAGAGTAGGGTGGGAGCCTAGGAAGAGCCATTTGTCCCATCAGCCTGGACTGACCTAAGGTGAGAAAGACAGCACCCTCCTCTGTGCAAGTAGCATTACAGTACTCAGAATGAAGGCCGAGACACAAAGCTTATCCAGCCTCACTCACAGCCTATGGCTGCCACTGTCCCAAATGCTGCTCCTCTGCTTCAGGACCACAGGTTTCTCCACACAGTGTTGACTTCAGCAAAGGTTGCTTCAGAGCAGACTGTTTGCCAACAGGTTGCATAGATGCCACTGTCTGAAATCCCCATCCTCCTGCACCCCAGTCCCCTATCTTCATGTCTGACACAGCAACTGCCCACTTCCAAGTCATATGCCAGTCTCTCTCCAGGTGCCTGGGAGCCCCAGGAAACTCTGGGCTTAGGCTCTGTAAGGGATCATTATGGGGGTCCTCTCCAGTATAAAGAGTGAGAAGCAAGTTCTTAAGGTTCCAATGCTCCAGTGACTTACGTACTTGCTTCCAGAGCTTTCCTTGAATCTATGGAGGATTTGAAACACCAACATATGCTGTACAACACACTCATCCAAACAGAAACTCCCCTGAGAACCAATCACAGTGGCCACAGCCTTGATCACTTACCAGCCAGTCCTCAGCCAGTATGAGCTGAGCCAGGGATGTGGAGCGGGTACACGCTACATGACACTGATGGGGTAGTGGGATCCGACTCCACACTGGGGGTTGGGCCACCTCTCTGGATAGCCAAAGCAATGACAAAGCCAGATCTTCTGGAAGACACTAAGGTGTCCTCAGCAGTCCCAGCTGACCCGCCACGTGATACACATCAGCATTCGCTGCTAAGGACAGTGAATCTTTAAAACCAGACATCCAGGTGGGTGATTTAGTTATTTTCTGTTGCTGGGAAGAGATGCCATGGCCAAGGTAATTTGTAAAAGAAAGCATTTAATTTGGGATCTCACAGTTCCAGAGGGTGAGAGTCCAGGACCATCACAGGAGGGAGCATGCAGCTGAGAGCTCACATCATCCCCAGCCAGAGGCCGAGAGAAGACAGACAGAATTGGAAATGTTGTGGGGCTTGAAACCTCCAAGCCCACCCTCAGTGACACACTCCTCCAACAAAGTCACGCCTCCTAATCCTTCCCAAACTGTTTCACCAGCTGAGGACCAAGCATGCAAATAGATGAGCCTTTATGGGGCTCATTCTCATCCAAACCACCACAGTGGATCACTCACCCAGGAACCATAGGATTGCCAAGTGTGTGCCATGCTCCATGCTAGGCACCATGGATGCCAGAAGTAATAAGACATGGCTTGTATTCTCAGGGATCTCAAAACTTATGGAAGGAAACCGATGGAAATGGAAGCTGCTATATAGAAGGAGAGCTGTCATAACTGGATCATTAATTCAGGACAAACCCCATAATATTGGAAGGAATACAAATAAGGCTGGACATGGTGTGCATGTGCATGTGTGTGTGTGCATCTATACAACCTACATTCTATATGAGAGAAAATGTGATTATGTGTCTTGTAGGTCTAGTTCACTTTGCTTAATACATTCATCTCTAATTCTCTCCATTTTCCTGATAATGACATAATTTCACTCTTCTTTATAACTAAATAAAACT